GCTGCGCGCTGCCAATGCAATTAAATTTAATGCAAAAAAAACAAACGCGATCGCTGGCACTTTTAATTTTGGTGTGCGTGGGTTTTATTTTGTCAAAAAAAAAAAATTATTTTTTTTTAATTATATAAGTTGAGACTTGCAAATTTTCAGCACAATCTAATTTTGCTCTGCTGATCTCGTGATACCGGAAAAGAACTATTTGACCCATGCGGCTCTTTATATACCTGCACATTCCAGTCTGCGCTCTTCCTCTTCTTGGAAAGTCAGAAGCGAAGATGGGTGCAATTTACCAGCTGTGTCCCAAGCTTTAAAGGTTCTTGCAAAAGCTCGCTCTCGGAATGTGAGCTTTTGCAAGATCAGCTGGTATTGCAGTGCAGGCGACAAACTTGTCGCGAATGATATGCACTGCAATTATTTATTGTCAGTACATATATTCTTTGACCATTACAAGTTAATTAATTAAGTATTAAAGTGAGACATTTTATTAAAAGTTAAGTCTGCCGCATAAAATAAGATTATAAGGTATACCCCCAGACATCTTTAATAAAAGTGGCACAATTATTTCGCCAGTCTGCCCATCACTCCTATGTGCAAACGCGTTCATCCTAAGAGGGAAAGAGACTTGAGACTTTTGTATAGCTCGATTAAATTTATAACTTACTGGGATAATTCTAACGCCATAGACTACCATTTTTGTTTCTGTTTATTGAACTTTATATGTATGTATATTAATTCATCTTTATTTATATGTGAAATCTATTTTATACTTAATACGTTTGAATATGGTATAATAATATGAAACTCTCATTTATATCTGTCAGCTATTTAAATTTTCTAATAAAATTTGTTGTTTTTTTTTTTTCACTACCAAATAAAATGTAATATTTAGTTTTCTGCTTTCTGTTGACATTTTAACTTTTAAAATATACAGGAACATGCAAATGCTGACATTTTCTTCTGCTAATTATGCTATGCCACTTTGCTGGCAAAGCGATACAAATAGTTCTCGACGCGAATCTTGTCGCGTAGCTCCCTGCGTGAGGTGATCTCGGTGGCGGCGGTGGTGCCGTTGTGATCGTGGAAGAAGCCGCAGTAGCGGGCGGGCACAAACTGCTTGATGTACTGGCGCTTGCGATAGCGCTCGACGACGCTCAGGGCGCAGTGCTTGATGGTCGCCATCTGCTCGGCCATGCACAGCCTGCACATGTCCTTGTCGTTGGCGAAGCTGTGGAAGTAATCGCCCTTGGGCGTCTCATGGCAAATGATGCAGACGGCATCATGCTTGGGGCCACAAAAGACGGCGACTGCGGGCCAGATAAGGCGACAGCTGCCGAAAGCAGTTTCGAGCTTATAATTCGGATACTTGTTGTGAATCGAATAGGTGGAGGGACTGTAATGCGAAAGGCGATAGAAATCAAGAGATGCTTACTGAACCAAAATGAATATCTTACCCGGGTGTCAGCCACTTGGGCAGTGTGGACACCTGCCGGTCGAAGGTATAGCCAGCGCGTAGAACCCCAGGCGAGGGCTCATAGGTGCCTAATGGGGGAATGATCTGATCCCGCACAACAGGCAGACGGGGCATCTTGTTAGCCAATGCAGAAAAGCCAGCATTTGAGGGATACTAGTTTAAAAAGGCAGAGAAAGAAGATAAGCTTATAAGGATTAATAAATATGTAGATGCAATTTAAAATATAGATTAATATAATATGTCTATACCAAAATAGTTAAACGCAGATATATGGCTCTCGATAGACAGATAGAGAAATAAGGATAAGAAATGATCGATTATTATCAATACAAAAGATTAGTTTTGAACAACAAGAATAAACTTGTACTGCCTAAGGTATACAGGAGTATACTAGACAAATTCCGAGTCTCTAGCTATTGTGGGTTACGGGATTTCGGCGTTCATACGGTCAGACAGACGGACAGAATATAATACAACTAGAGATGTGAAAAAGCAAACATTGATATATAGAATAGTATAGAATAGAATAGAATATAGTTATATTATAATAATTGATAGAAATTTAATAACACAATAAGAAAGTAACAGAACAAAAAAATAGCCAAATTATAAAGAAACGATCCAACTAGAAAGAGATAAAATTATCTAATAAAGAATATTCCGAAGGGGACACTGCTATCGGTGAATAGAGTTGCTTGGCTTACCTTAAATCCAATTGGCTTTGCACAATCATAATCCAGTGGACCGGGATATTCCCGTAGCTCCGTCTGTAGGGAGCGCATGTAGCTGGACATAGCTGGACCACTAATTGGCATTACATCGCGGTGCATCGTCGAGCCAAAGGCCACTTTTGCAACCACGGGTGGATTGACCACATATTCAAAGCCTGCAAGCGACAGAGACGGACGCAGAGAGACAGAGAGAGAAAGAGAATGTTAATTTGATTTTCCTTTGGGCATGGCTTGCGTCCTTAATAAGCACCCAATGCTCGATAGCTTGCCAAGATCATCCGCGCCTCGGAGCGCTGGCGGCGCAGCTGCTCCCGCTCCTGGGCAGTTTTCTGTTGTGCACGCATCGTGGCTTGCCACTAGACTGAAATTGGCTGGGGCGAAAAATTGATGGCTGACTGGCAGCCAGGTAACCTGCTTTGACTGACAGGGCGACACGCATGGCACGCACCTGCCCAAAAGCCTGCCAATGCCTCAATACTCATATCTCCTGCACCTGCTATCAATAATCATTATCACCGTCATCATCGTCATCGCCATCGTCATCAAAATCAATATGATAAACGCGATGGCATTTCAATTCCTGCAGGCAGTCAGCGGGTCTAGCCAGCGCTTTATTCCGCTCAACTTTGACCCAGTTTTGTCTTTTAATAACGCTCAATGTGGCATTTACTCGGTAAGTGGGACGAAAATCTGACTTTGATTTTCATTTTTAATGGCAAAAATTGCGAAATTGATATCTCAATGAAGTTATGCACAGAATGGGAAATAAGGTGGAATAGGACGAGATATCAAGATGGAATTTTAGTCTGGTTATTATAGTAGATTAGTCTGATATATTATATATTATAATTTTCATCTATTAGTTATATATTATTCATAGGTTTCAATGTAGGTTAAGTCCATAAATATTATTAAGAGTGGATGGAATAAAGAACTTGAAGAAAATAAATAAAGGAATCTTCCTTTAAACATTCATAAGAAATTTTCCAGATTAAGATTGATTGATGGCATAGATTTAGATGAAAATCAAGTATATTACGGAGTTGGAGAAACGATTTCTGGATCTTCCAGCACAGACTCGTTAAAATGATATCTTAATAGCTATAAATTTTAGATAATTGTAAGTTTAAGGATTAAAGTATCGAAAGGCTACATCGAGTCTTTAGTAACTCAGAAGCTACAGGAACCAAAATCATTAAGAATCATTTGATAAGCAGTATTCCTTAAGAAATATTAGATTATATGCCTTTAGCTTTCAGATGTTTGCTATTTATATTTGGTTTTGTTTTTAACTAGAGATAAAAAATAAATAGCCCACTTACCCTCCATCTTAAGCACTTAAAAATTGCTTTCTGTGTATGAATACGTATTATACTATCTATTCACTGTCTGAAATGCAAGTACTTAAAATTTATGCAAACAACATTTAAAACACGACGTTGTGACTCCGACTACGATAAATAAAATACAAAATCAACAAATTGTGCCACATGACAGGCAAGTCGTTGACATACATATATGCAAAGAGACTGGCAGCAAAAGCTACCAAAAAATTGTTGAAAAATAGTTGAGCAAACATGGAAAATTGTGGCATGCAACAGGCGCAGTCAGATAGCAAAATAATGCGTTGCATTTAAATTCAAATGTCGAGTCGAGTCGGATATACGAGCCTAAGATACACAAGCAAACTTTTAAATGGCTTTTCGAGCAATTTTCCAAGTGGGCTGGTCGAATAATGTTGAGTGGGATGGGCAGGGCAGGGCACGGCAGGGGGGGAGAGGGGGTCTCTTGCAACAACCGCAAAGTGCGCACCTACAAAATGGCAGAATGGCTGCATGACATTAATGCCAGTTAACCCCAAACGTTGTCCTCGTCGTCAGCTGCAGCTGCAGCTGCATGGCTTTGGCTTTGGCGTTAGCTTTTTCGACAGGCAGCACGAGCCTGCTGGCAACCATCTCTCTCTCTCTCTCTCTCTCCCTCCTCTTGCTCATCCCATTAGGGCCGAAGCTCACGCACATGAATGCTAATGGAGGTGACAACGGGTGAGAGAGAGTGAGCTATAGAGGGGGAGAGAGACAGGCAGCAGGCAGCAGGCAGCACGCAGCATTGCACAACCACAGAAGCTATATAAGGGGCCTCTCTTGGCACACACAATTCGCCCGCCCACGCACAGTAGCCGCACAGTGCTCAAAATGTTAACCTGCACAATTATTTAAAGAGTATTGAGTAGTTGACTCTCATGATTTATTATATTGGAAAACTCATTAAAAGCGCGGTAACGATAATTAAGCACGGATCAGCGAGCTGCCTGAGTGCGGCCAGTGTGGATGGCGTTTGAGCGTGACAGATAATTAATTTGTTTACGCTCTGGTTGCTGATGCTATTGTTTCCTATATGTTGCTGGCACACAGAGCGACCATCGCGTGAGCGAATAAAAAAAACTATGATTACTGCATTCTACAGCCAAGCCTTTGATCCTGTTATACATTAGTTACTCTCTCTCATCTCATATTTCAAGAGCGGATGAGTGAATTCACATGTTCACTGTGATCCCTTGCTCTTTATTAACAGCCTTCAAGGTTGAGCGAGCTACAAATTCCTATGCTCGCCACAATCAACTCTACATAGATCCCGTTACATCAATCGTAGACTCTTTCGTTACCTTTGGCTTTGTTCTGAAAGAGAAGCTGCTCAAATTTGCACTCATAGCTACGATTGTATTAGTGTAAGTGCCGTGAGAGACTAAAGCAAGGCAATTCTTTAGTCTGTGTGTGTCCGTCTCCTTTGCTAGGTGACTTTCGCGTTAATTCATATGTTTATTATTTTATTTTTATTTATTTGAGACCTTTTAATCCACCTACGATCGTGCAAATAAATATGTGTTTAAAATAATATTAATCAAATTCGTGTTTGCAATTTTTTGTATAGTTTTTTTTTCACCAAGCAAAGTTTTTTCGCTCTCGATCTAAAGCTGTAGCCTTGCAGCTAATGTGTGAGCGAGAGAGTAGATTATATGCTTTCTGCATTGCAATTATGAGTAATTTTGCATTCGATTCCGCTGCTTAAATCAGCTGTCATTGTTTTAGCACGAAAGTCGAACAAATGAGAGAGATAATTGTCGTGCGCACGTCTTGCCGTCCGCAGTGTTTGTGTGTGGTAAACAAATTACTCATTTTAGCGTAAATCTATAAATGTTTTCTTCCTTTTTAAAGTGTGTAATAATTAATCAAACTTAATGTGGCCGAAAGTAGCTAAATGTTGGCAGCTATTTTGTGTTGGTTTTAAATATGTCAGCTGTATGGATTGCGAAAGTGTGGATTGTATTTGTGGATTATAAACGAGAGCTCTTAATGTAAGCGTGGATTACAAGAGAGCGATATCGAGAGATAGAGAGTGCTTTCAAAATCAACTAAAATTAAGAGAGGTAAGTCTGCACACATTTCTAACACCTGATACCACTGTGCGCATGAAGCGTGATGCAAGCTGCTTAATTCGTGCAAATAAAATGATTGTGCAACATATGTAACTGGGTTCGCTTGTGGCTCTATTATTTCAAGTACAGTCCTGGCAGCTGCTCAAGCAGCTGCTTCGACTAGTCCTTAAAACCCAACCCAAAACCCCAAGCCCAAACCAAAACCCTAATTTGACCCTCCCGCCCGCCTCTCTTTAGATAGCCGCAGAACTTACAGTGCAATTAAATTGTAATTTCACATTATTTAACTGTTTTGCTGTGCTACACTTTGGCTGAGCACATTTTAGGCAACGTCTGTGAACGTTTGTTTATGATGTCAACAATTAGTGTAATGCAAATTAAACTGCTGTCATTTGTCATAATAATTTATATATAATGAAAAGCTCGCAAGCACAATATTGCTACGGCGTAGTCTCTAGATGAAAAATGAGTCGGTAAATTGTGGAAAGCAATTCACTTGCAGCACAAAGAGTTAGTGCTTAGATTGTAAAATTTGATACAAAGTTAAGTTTCATTGTATTTAGTTCTGGATTTACGATAGTTATTCTTTATGTGTAAATTATATATTAAGTTATTTTTTTATTGAGCTGATTCACGATTCCTGTTCTATATATTTAGTTAGTTACAGTCTTCTATCAGTAAAATTAGATCGTAAAATGCTCTTTAATTGTTTGCCGCCTTTAAATTACTATGTTACACGTTTCTGGATATACGATTTCTGGACATTAAATCTTCATTTAGTTCATATACCTCTATCAGTTATCTTCTCATAATAGTTATATAATAAGCCAAAGATCAAAGAAATTAAGTTCAATGTTTATTATAAGTCATTGACCTTGAATTTGAGATATCTTGAGCTCTGTAATAGAATCAATAATAATAAATCAAATATCTGTTCATTAAATTAGAAAAACTTTAATTTTAGCCCACCGTAGAGCACACACACATGCATTCCTCTTCCGTTTGCAGAGAACTGCCACAGTCCATAGGAATAAATAGAACTCAAATATTCAAATCAGTTTTAGAGGGTATTGCACATAAAACTTCGTGCCAGCAAGTGGCATGTCCTACACAAGCAATTACAACAACAATGGGGCGGGCAAATAAAAATGCAGAAGACTTCGGTTGTGTGGCTTTTCAATTTCGGCCAGGACAACATGGCTATGGCCATGGACATGCTGGCAACGAAAAAGTGGCCATAAACGTGCAATTCACATGCAAAGCACAAAAACTTCACTTCGAAAGCAACACTGGATGGGCGGAAGTGCCAAGCAGCATTTTTCCAGCACCAGCACCAACAGCATGCTGCAGCAGCAGGAGCAGGAGCAGCAGGAGCGGGAGCTGTACTAGCAGCATCAGCACCAAGGACATCATTGTTTGTTGTTGTTGTTGTTGTTCGCTTCTGCCTTGTGGCTAAAACGCAAAATTTGCCTCACAATAAAAACAAAAAACAATGACAAAGCTCACAAAACAGTTTAAGTCTATTTTGGGCAGGAAGTGCCGCTTATTACGCAGGATGTGGTTAACCGGAAATGAAACGAAATAAGCCAACTGCGACGCTCTAGACCACCTCTCAGTTTGGAGTCTGCTTAAGTTTGTGTGTATGTGTGTGTGTGTGTGCTTGTAAATGTTTATGTGTTGGTGAAGTGCATAGGAAACTAATTAAACATGCGCTTAAAGCTTATCGACTTTTCCATCAAATAGCGCAAGGCATCATTGGCAGCCATCTAAATTTGTAATTACACTATGCAGCAAGTCTATAATAAGACATATGAAAATGTATCGAATTTTAGAAACATTATCTATATGCCATCTAATTCAATTAAATATTTAAAAGTTGATTTAAGTTAATTCCTCAAATTAACTTTAGTCTCTAATGCGAGTGGCCAAATGTGTTAGTTGAGCAACGTTATATATATAAGCGAGCATGGAGACTCTCTATAAACAATAATTAAAATAAAAAGCCATCTTCAACTGTACTCATATCATTTATATATTCAAGAATTCTTTTATTTAATGAGTCGAAAA